GTATATATTATATTCAATCTAATACGATCGTAGACGGTAACTGTAGACGTTTCAGTCGGACCCGGGACCAAGGTTTAACCGATGAGAAGATCACATATTTTTTATCACAAGAAACGGCGGCGGATATTAACGAAATATTTCGATGACTTCCTCTGGTTAGCTCTTCACATTTCGCACAGGGAAACCGTCTATTATTACTATTCTAAGTGTGTATTCTTACAACACGATGTCATTAATATCGTTGCAATTCGAAAAGAAATGATAATATTACGTGTCTCTTCTTTGTACAGTTCATTATCTTTTTTATAATTTTCCCTCCAGTCAGGAGTTACGTACAGAAGTAAGCTCCCTCGTTTTCCCGATCAACATTTGTACCTTTTATATGATATCGGTACAGCGGCTCCGAATCTCATAGTTTTTCGCATTGAAGACGCATAAGAACACTATATATATTTTACTAGATCATACGCGTTAATCATGTAACTGCCGTGTATCACGTCGCTTGGTGTTTCTGGACACCGTAATCGACGGGGCTTGTTGAATATCGATTTGAATGTTGTTTACGCTCGTTTTTATCTAATCGCCACCGCAACAGTAGCGTTATATTTGATTATGTGTACTTTTCGTACCGACTACCGTATCTTGTCGTAGCGCTTTTGCGCAGGTCTAGAACGAAACAATGGTTTCAGGCTTTGGCGCGGTCCGGCACCACCTGAGACGTGTGTTGTCGGCGGTCCGTCTCCGTTTCGTGTCCAAGGCTGTGTACTCAGCACCTTTTCGACCGTCGAAACGCGTAAACGAATACGATTTAAACTCATTATTCATAAACAAAAATGAAGGGCGCGTTTTTTTTGTTTTGTTATTTTTTTACACGAGCGTGTGAACTTTTCCGGTACAACTATCGCGGTGCAGATTTTAATCTAATGCAGCGCTCGACCGCGATATGTATTATGTGATATGCATTTCTCCTTCTCTATCACACGCGTTCGGTTCGTAACGCGAAACGTGTATCGTATCGAAAAACGATATTACACAAAAGCGTAAAAAAAAACCGGAAAGCGATCGGCGCAACGAAAAAAAAAAAAACGAAAACGAACTTTTCTGCGAGCGCTACAGTCGGTAGGGGCACGTATACACATATGATGTACAGTGGCACTGGTGACGATTTCAAGGTAAATGCGCGTTGCACTAGAAGTAATTAATGCCGTGTATGTGCGCGCACGCACGGTATATTACACTCCGTTGTCGCAACGTAAAAAACGCGCGTGGTCCGTTTCGGTACTCCGATTTTTTTTTTTTATCTTTATAATGTTTTTATTATTTTTTTCCTCTTTTTATTTTCGTCTGTTCGTGGTTCCGACATTCCGCAGTGTGAATCGGTCAGGGTCAATCTCCCATGTGTCGCCGTCCCTCTGTCCGCCGGATGTGCGCGTACGCAACGCGACACGACGGGAGCCACGGGAAGTCGTGTGCCTGATGGGATTTTTAATTTTTCGTACCATCGAACATTAAACGCGCAATCGTCGGCTACGCGTCCAAAATTCGGCTGCCGTTTTCGTTAAGCGATATTCTTCGTCGGGTTCAACACCGATTCCTACGATATTTCCTTACGACGTACGCAACCATTTCCGCGACGCGTCCATAAGTTTTTCTCGATCCTTCGAATATTTCACGGACGTTATAAAATCTGTTTAATCTGTTCCAACAACGTTTAGCGACTCACGCGTTGTATTTCTCAACGACATTACGACGAACGGAAAAACGTGTTCAAACCGTGTCCAACAACACTGATACATCGACACCGAGAAAAATAAGAATCGGCTAAGATCTACAGACAGCAGTGGATTGTTCAAAATTGATTCGCCGTTACTACCTTATTAACCCAAAGGTACGCGTATCGAGCCGTGCGATACGTTCGACATACGTTTCACCCGGAATATCACGTATCGATAGATTTACATTAAACGATTTTGTTTTTTTTTCATAGTTCCGGTACCAAATTTTGCGTTGTACTGAATGGATATATTTTGCATCGAACGTTTTAACCAGATTTTTCTTGTTAGCCGTACGAGAAGGGGGAAAAAATTGCGAAAAGCAACTATCGTCTTGAATGAGAGTAGTCTCCGCGCGTTTCTCCCGCGACTCGGTCGGACGCCAAATCATGCCGCGTGCTTAACGCTCGTCAAGGATTTTGACAGGACGCGATCCGCGCGCGCCGGACGTGTTAATAAAACGTGTGATTCTCGAAATCGCGTCGGGTGTTGGACGCAGTAGTAGTATGTGGTGTGCGTTCACGTCGCCGAATTCTCGAGGTTCGGCAAATGTGTATTTATCGACAGACAGAAAAAGCGAACTACAACCGAACACCACCGCCGAACGTATCGGTTTCTCGCGTATCCGTTTAATCAGACTCATTGAACATCATCAAGTGTTTTACCCGTTCACAGATACTTTGTTTGCGCACGACGGGTCTGCGTTGGGACATTTGCGGACGTAAAAAATTATCATTGTCACGCGTTCGCCGGAGAGGAGGTGTAACGCGTGCGGCCGATGCGAATCGAGAACCTGTTGGTCGCCGTCGCCATTGTCGAAGGTTATTTGTTTGTTACGCGTACGCGAGTGGGACGACGACGACTCCTCTGGTGTACAATAATATAATATTGTAAGAATCGCGAAGAATAGGAAGAAAAAATAAACGCTCCGTTCCATTAAAACCCGCGCGCACAGCCCTCTCCGTCGTCGTCGTCGTCGTCGCGTCACGCGCGTTTGTCGGACGACCATATGTGTGCAATATATTACCCGTGGGGAAGAGGGTGGAGCGTACATATTATGTACACTAGCCGTATAATCAGTTTTTTTTTTTTTTTTTGAAGAAATAAAAACACAATAGCGCGGGCAGTCCGCCGCGTACTGTACGCGTACAGAAGGATAAGTACTCGCAGCTACCGTCTGCGACGTTTCGTTTTGATTTCTATTGTTCGTTTCCTTATTTTTTCATTTTTTCATAATTTACAAAAGCAAAAACCAGACGTATCCCCGTATGTATGATAAGTGTTTATTTTGTGCCTTGTCGACCGCGAGGCGGACGTTTTTTATATTTCGTCATCGCACGTGTACAACAACACTTTTTTTATACATTAATTCATACCGATAAGCATCGCATGTGATAATACCCAATGCATTCTTAACGAGTTATTATTATTATTTTCATCAAACAAATCGCAAACATTAATCATTTCGGACCGCTACGTGCAGCTTGTTCCAACAGCGTTGCACGTAACTCTCTAAATCTTTATTATTGTACTCACAATACTCGTGGTTCGTCGGTGGGTTTTCGAAACGAGAAAAAACAGTACGCCGAGATGATGTCATGGAAATATATGATGTTTCTCGTTCGGTTCCACGGGGCGCCGTAGATTTCTAGTGCGATCGTGCGATGATCAAAATCATCTACGCTAATGCCCTCTGTGTTCGATACGAACCGAACGGGTAGTGGCAACGGTTGACCTACAGAGCAGAATCGTCGTAACGGCAGTTAACTTAAACTTCAAAATTTAAACGTCCGTTATGAATTCAAACAGTTGGCGGCGCAAGGTCAGTGACCCTGGCACCACAAAGTAAAAATGTTGGTGTTAAAGTGGTTTAATAAATTAGTAATAAATTCGTAATAATTCCTGATCACAAATTTAGAATTTTTAACAAAGTATAACTCCCCAAAATCAATTTTCTATTTTACGAATCGGTTATTAATCATTGGTACCGTTTCGGACACTGTAAGACGTTTTTTCGATTGTCGGGTGATGGAATCAAAATTACTAATGTATACTCTTAACACTAGGTAACCAGACTTGGGTAAAATATTTTTTAAAAGTATTTAGAATAAATACTCGAATACTTACAAAAAATAGTATTCCGAATATGTATTCAAATACTTTATACAAATTGTATTCCGAATACATTTAGAATACTTTAAAAGTATTTCGAATATTGTTAAAATACTTCTAGTTGTTATACTATAAAAATAATAGATGTCCACTCAACAGAAATATTTGAAATTATAGGCTAAATATGTGTTACTTTATTGTATTTTTATATTACATAACTGTTATAGTTTATGGCTTACAACAATAATAAATACCTGATATTAGCTTATCAAGATAGAGTATAGTTAATAGTAAGTTAATAGTAATAAAATCATTTAAAAAAGAGATGATTTAAACCTGTATTCGAAATACAGTATTCAAAATACTTTATTGAATACTTTCAAAAAACGTATTTAAAAAGCATTCGAAATACTTAAAAAGTATTCTGAATAACGTATTCCGAATATTGTATTCGGAATACTACCCAAGTCTGTAGGTAGCGAATGAAGCTTTGTGTACTAAAAAAATACAGTTTTTAACAAACTTTGATACTTTTCATACGTAGTACAGTAATAGAATGACGTTTTACAAAAATAAGAATTTTACAATAAAACTGTGCATCTATAATATACGGTTCTCGAATCCGTGAAATGAAAGGGTACGGGCCTCGGCTCGGTGCTGGTGGTCCATGTGACGACCCAGGCTCTTCGGTCTTACCTTAGGGTCCGTTTCGACCACGCCTCTTGAGTAACACCTCGCGTTAATAGAAAGTGCGCGGACAATAAGGCCTTGGCCACAAATCCGGATCTCGTGTGTATCTATACTGTTCTTCGGTGAACTTTTTTTACATTACGGCTGACAAGCGAAATTCGACCATTTTTAACGATGTCCGAATAATGTTAACTTTTATCCGACTTGAGTTACAATAAATAACGAAATCGCAGTTTTTTGCTCTTTGCTCTTGGCCGGCTAACAATTTTTATGTCCGGAACGGGCCATCTGTTAAAATTGCTCCACGTCACGCATCCGGTTCCCGTTCACGCAGTAGTCGCTTACGTGCGATTTTTACAACGGAGAGCTTTCCTAATCTTAAAAGATCGTTTTTGCTCATTTTGTTTTATGAATTTTTTTCCCCAGACGTAGTAACGCGCAACCGCTGTCCACAATGAGCGTGCAAAACCTTCGGAACAAGTTTAGCCAGAACGGTGCCTCAGTGCCGTACAACCCGCCGGGGCTGAGCTACGGAAAACCCGTTGCCATGAATAACAACACCAGTAATAACAACAACAACAACAACGGGCATGGGGTGCTGCTTCAGCAGAACGGCGGTGTGATCGGCAGTCGGTTCAAGACGATTCGTGAGGAGCCGGCGGACGGCGACGAGAAGCCTCCCGTGGCCACCAAGAATAACAGTTTCTTGCAAAGCTACTTGGCGGCCGAGGTGACGAAAAACGCGGCTAAGAAGCCGGCAGCGACCAAGTTCGCAACTAGGTCATCGCCCATGCCCGTCGCGGACGTCGCGGCAAAACTGTTGGCCAAGCAACCGCCCGAAGTCAGATCGCCGCCCCCGCCTGTGTTGCGTGCCACTGGTTACACCCCTAAGGCTTCGATCAAGTCGAGCCCCGTGTCATCAGCCCCGACCCAAGTGCCATCATCGCAGCCCTTCTTGTCCCCGTCCAAGCCACCATCGCCGCAGTCTTTCACGTCGTCCTTCCCTACCAAGTCGCCCGACCCGCAGCCGAGTGTCGTCAGATCGTCGCCAAACACCGAGGACCGGTGGAAGAGCAAATACGAAGAGACGGAGACCAAGCGGAAGGGTCTGTTGACACAGACTCAGAAACGTGAGTGCACTATTCGTTTTACGCGCAAGGAGTTATTACGACGGTTTTGTTTTGTTTTTTTTTTCAATTTTCATCCCGTTCAGTGTTGAGAGAGAAGTCGGACATGGAACGACAGGTGTCGAAACTCAGCGCTGATCTCGAGGTATCGAACCGAGAGCTGTCGGAAAGAACGTTGCAACTGTCGCAGCTGAGAAAACGTGAGTACGAACCGTGTACTGTTTGTACTGTACAACGCTATTAAAATCAGGTCGCACTTTTGGTGCTCGTTGACGGCACTAAATATTATTTATTATTTTCATGGGTGCTCAAAGTTTCGGAAGGCATGTACAAGGAGTACGATCAGTTAAGACAACAATACGAGCTCGAGACCGGCACGTTGCAGAAGGCCATGGAACGAGCTTCACAGGTATCTATTTGTATAATCGATTCGACGTTAATCGGCCGTTTCACCAATTACACTGTAATTGATATACTCCTTGTATTGTCCCCTCCGTTTGCAGTGGTACAAACAAAATCGCGAGCTAAAAAGGAGGAGCTCGGCGTTAATGCAAAAAGTCATGTCGGTCGCACCGTCCACGTTGGATGATTTGGCCGACGATACGGACGGCAACGATAACGACACGGAAATGGAAGAGCTCAGGAAGACGGTCAAAGGTAAAAAGATCTTAAGGATTTTACTTGACGTGTGAGTAACACGATCGGCCCGCGCGTGTGATCGTTTGTTCACAGAGCTCACCCAAGAAGTTTCGAGGCTACAAGCGGAGTTGAATAAAATCAAACTGCAAGAGTTTGAAGCCCAGGAGCAGACCGTAGACTTAACATCTGACCTGGAGGAGGAGCGCAGGGCTAGGGCACGTGTCGAACAAGAACTAAAAGTAATTATTTTTGCACCATAGATGTAAAAAAATATTCGTTCTTTATCTGTACCATATAAATATATTAATTAAATTATACGATTGGGACCGTCCTGTTTTCAAATAAATTAAATAAATCACTCTGCTGATTTTATTGGACAGTACAACCCCGTGTCACGATATCCGTAAATTCGTTGATACTATTCCGTATATACGTGGCATTAAACTAGAGTAAACTCTCTGGCAAAGAAACAAACTCTTTGAATCAAAAGTTTTGGAACTCCTATGCAATAAATGTTCACTGTTTGATTTGAATTAATTTAATTATCTTAAATAATTTAAGGAGTTAAAGATGAAACACGAAAGCTTAGAGACCGTCAGTCGTAAAGTCGTCGAAGAGACGACAGTTTTACACCAACGGTACAAGAAAGAGAAAGAAGAAGGCGTAAAAATCCGAAGTGATGCGAACAAAGTATGTATTTGAAAACCATTGGCAATGACCAGGGCCAGAATTTGTATGCAACATGTTTTTTCTTTTTTGCTAACTCCAAACGGAGTTTTAGTAATTCCACAATTTATATTATTCTGATGAAAATAGTATTATTTTTATTTTGCATGTTTTAGCATATATCGAGCTTAATGCATATTTTTGCATATTTAGTATGATTGTATTAGTTTCACTTGAGCCCGTAATAATTAAACTGATCAGAGTATATAACTTGATTTTTTTGCCAAACATAAACTTATTTTTTTTAAATACAATCCTATAATTCAATATGTGATAAAAGATTGAATAGTTTGACAGAGGAACATAAACACAATTAATATAAAAGTATATAGGTATCGATATAAAATCCAAGGTAAGATATAATGTATTGGGCAATAGTGTATTACATACAATCCTAAAGAATTTAAAACTCTACAATCAATAAATTAAGTACTTAATGGCGAATCGAACGAGGACAATTTCAGTTGTAATTTAACACCAGAACATATTATTTTATTTAAATAAGCGACAACTACTTCATGTGACGATGAAAGAAGTTTTAGCCAATATAAATCAATACTACGATCCAATCGCCGATCATTTATATTCGACAATTTAAAAAAAATATGTGGTTGTAACATGTAAACATATTTCCACTATTAAATGTGAATTATACATTTAATTTCTAAAATAATAATTCATAAGTATGCTTGCAAAAAAAAAAAAAAATAATTGTTTTTAATTTTTATCTCAATTATATTACATTAAGACAATCAGCTAATGTATCAATCACTCATGTATTTCAGGAGCAATTCTTGATTTGAATATTTACTTAATAATTGAAATAGTAACAGAATTAAATTATATTACTGATAATAATTAATATGGCATTTGATTCGGAGGATTGTAAAGGTTCTAATGCTGAAGACATTAAAGTTAAATTTACTCCAAAAAATTTGACATTTATCTTCCAGATCATCGAGTTAATAAATTAAGTGGTATTTTTTTAAAGTTTATATATAATGTATAAGTTTTTTTCGTGTAGGTTTTAGTATTTCTAAAGTGCAAGTACTAGTGTTATCAATATCGAACACAAAAATTACAATTTACTTTAAAAACATACTATCCACTTCTGAAAATTAACTTTAAATTAGTATTATTTCATACTATGAATAAGATTTTTTGTATACATTTGTTCTGTTTATTATTATACGGTGTACTACCGAATGAAAGCTTTCAAATATTCATTCTAAATACAGTTATTGTAAAAAGTATTAATATTATAATATAAAAATACTTACATCGTTCACCGCTCTCGAAAATAACCACTCTGTCTTTAAAAAAAAAGTACTATTTTAATGATCTTTGTAGGTGAAATTCCTTTTTTCTTTCAGCCATTTCCCGAAAAAATTAATTAAAAACAGCAATTTTAAAAATTATAAAAAGAATAAAAAAAAATGTTTGTTCGTGTCGGCTCGACATCTGAACAGAAATTATAATATTAAGTATGAACGGATCAGTTTTTGAATAGAGATAAGTATTAATTGTTTATAAATAAAATTTAAACTATACCAATCTAAAAATATTAAAAAACCACAAGATAAAGATGATTCATAAATTCATATATTGATTTTAATTGGAAATTTATAATAATATTACACTACACTGTCAAACTTTTATTTATAAACAATCATGTTAAGAAATTACTCATTAATAATGATCAAATTTATAATGATAAAGTATATTAATAGAAGTTTCATGTGAACTCATAAAACTAAATTTTTTTCTATTTAATATTTTCTACTATTTTTTGAACTTTAAAATTTAGAATTTCTTCTAATAATTATTTCATACGAATCGTGTGCTACATATTTGCAAAAAAAAAAAAAAAATTAGAACATGTTAATTTTGACCAGAGGGAGGGGCTGGCGTGATGTTTTGCCAACCTATCCTGCATATTTGATTTTGGAGGTGAAGGAGTGTTGTGCGAATTTCGAAATTGGTCATACGAATTGCGTGCTGATTATTTACATATTCTTTTTTTTATATTTTTTTTTTTTTTTGGGGGGGGGGCACTGGCAAGATGTACGTATTATATTTTTGTTTATATCTTATAAAAATTAAAATGCATATTTTTGTATATTTTACAAATTTTTAATGCATACAAATCCTAACCCAGGTAATGACTAGTACAGACCATCCGGTATAAATCCTCTTCGGTTTTCAGGTGAAATCCGAAAGAGACGTACTTGCCAGACAAAGCCAATTGCTGATGATGGATGCTGCTTCGGACGAAAAAATCATGAAATTGTTGTTCGAAGTGGAACAATTGCAAAGAACAATAAGTGAAGAGAGACAAGAACACGCCGAACAAATAAAATACTTACAAGTGAGCATCAAGGCAAGGCGCATTGCATTTATCGTTTTAATTTTGACGGCTATTTTCGCAGGAAAAATTGGAATCTCAAAGCGAATCCGAACAAATCGAGTTGTACGAAGAGAAATTAAAGTTGACCGAAGCGGAATTACTGTGTTCTCAGCAAAGAGCCGAAACGGCTGAATCTCAATGTAAGCTATTTCGTTTTTTTTGTTTTTTAACTTTAACTTTGTGTCACTGAAACGTAAAATATTTTGAATTCCGAACCAACGGAGTAATGACAAAATCATAGAAATAAACGATAATCTTAAAGTTCACATTCCGCGTGCGATTTCAACGAATACTGTTATGCATTTATTTCTTTTGTAAAAAGTTCGCAGTCGATTAGTCCGAAAAATGTATTCTAACAATATCCGTATTGATCGTAATGATTTTTTTCACGTTTCCGCGTTCGAAGCGCACGTCCGGTGCGAAGCGAGCGATCGCTTGATGATCGGACGGTGAAAAAATGCGTTGTTTACGATACTACATAAATAAAACAGAAAAACAAAAAAAATAAACAAACTATACTTTTTCAGTGGTCGAGCTGAGGAAAAAAATCGAAGAGACCAGAGCGGCGACCGCGGTCCCTCCGTGCGCACCGCCACCGCCGCCACCTCCGCCACCCATGTCGATGCCGCCTCCTCCGCCGCCGCCGCCAATGACGATGATGGCGAACTTGCAGACCATCAAGTTGAAAACCGTGAGCGCGTTGAACCACACCGCGGACGACGGCTCGAACGCCATCGAGGAAATGGGAAACTATCTGGGACTGCCGGCGGCGAATTCCAAGGGTCCTCAGGTTCAGAACGGTACGTATTCGCGTGGCCGATAACCACGGTTACGTTCGGAAGTCACCGGAACGGACCGGGAAAATGTTCGACCCGCCGAAAAGTTCGGTACGTCCGGTCGCGTACGGTCGCCGTATGTTATCGGTGCGAGAAGAGTGTTTAACGGTGTTCGAAACACCAGATGCAGTCGTACATGATGTTCAATGGTGGGGGAGGGCAAAATTTAATCCAACCCTCCCCCATCCCATGAGATTTATATATATATATATATATATATACGGTTTGTTCGCTCTAAGAGGTACCACTAATTGGATGACCTTGTATGTAAATGGGTTTTCGGGAAATGAAAGCGAGTACCAAAACACACAATCTCAGAAGGGGCGGATCCAGACCAAGATAACGCGGGGAGGGAGCGATTTTTAAAGGGCAAATGTAAAACAGATAAAATTAAAAAATATTAATCTTGATATAGTGCTTTTTTAAATATTTATTTAAGTACATACATGTCTTACTTTCCACAGCATCGTATAGAACAGAAAACAATTATATTTTATATAGTAATAGCAATAATAACAATTTGGTTGTAAATATAAACTTGATGATTCATAATTATTATTGCTCGGTGCACAAACGATTGATAAAAATTTACAATAAGCTAAGATAACGGTTCAATAAACAGTCGGATAATTAATTTTATTGGTTCCCTAAAGTGCTGAACTGTTGCACAAACAATTTATTAACACTGCAATGGTTAGTACTCTGATCAAAGTTTAAATACCATGATTGCAAACAATTACCATTAGGTACATAAGTATTTTTACTGTTATCAGTGTTAATTGTTATCATTTTTATATTTATATAAAATTTATAAATATATATATATAAATGTGTAATAATAAATAATTATATATATAATTATTTATTATTACAAAAATAATTCGACTTTATCAGGTCAATAAAGTTCCATAACTCTTTTGAATATTTATATTTATCGATTTGTAATCGGGTCTGAAGCGGATAGGGGGGGGGGGGGATCGCCCCAATCATTCCCCTCTGGATCCAGCCCTGCATATAATATACGTACGGATATTAGGTATAAACATATTGACTTACAAAATTCATCTTATAATTGTAATAATTATTATAATTGCAATTATATCGGTCGTGCGTGACCGAGACATAGTTCGGTAGTAACGCATTATCCGTGATCAAAATAGAAAAATATTTTTTTATTAAATCATAAGTTCGAAAACTTGCAGACAGGTGCTGTTGGACCAGCGATATGCTAAATTAAAAAAAAAACAAATCCTAAGGTGGGGGGGAGATCCAACTATCGCCCCCCTCTTATAACCGTCACAGCGAGATACCGACGTCCGGCACAATACGGCGTGCGCGCGTTCGGGTAACAAGGTCGCGTTTCGTCACATGCGTCTCGGCCTATGAGTCATTTTCGACGAGAGCATATTGATTTTCGACGGAATGTTTTTTAACCGGTATTGAAATGGTATTTTCGAAAGTGACGTACGAAATGTTTCTCGTCAGCGGATTTTCTCCGGATAAACGAGCTTGCGAGACCGGTGTGTAAGAACACCTTGGCCGTAAAACATTCACTATACACGGTAGAAAATATTTTAAATAATTTTCACCGGGTGGCATTTCAATAAAATTGTCTACCATCGTGGTTCATAGACGTGGTGTTCTTCTGCACAGAAACAAATGAGGAAAATCAACTCCTGTTGCTACTGTCGTTATGAGAATGTTTTGGTTAGCGGCACGATCGTCCACCACTGAGCAGCACTCAATTATCACTGGGGAGGAGGCACTAGTGCCACGTACTTTGTATGATAAAATGTGCTCTGAGTGGTAGGCACACGTACGTTTCGTGAAGCTCAGGAGATTATTTTCGTACTGAACGTTTTGACGTGTTGTCGTTCACCTTTCCGACTGATTCGAGTTTCAAAGCTCACATAACGTTGTACCGATTCGGAGAGATGCGTTGATTACGCGTTCTTAGATCTCGGGATACGTGTTCGCACCAGAGGTGGAACTAGGAATTTTTACGCCCTGGGATAATGTTAAAATTACGCCCTATCATATACTAATACCGAATACTCTTATCGAGAATTATTTTCTAAAAAATAATATACAATTATACTTATTGAGTTTTAAATTACAATCTGTATTTAACAAAGTTAAAAATATCAAATCATTTGTTAATAATTACAAAAATTACACCCTCTAAAATTGTATTTATAAACTGTAAGATTGAATCCCCGTTTTCCACCCCCCCCCCCCCAGATCCGCCTCTAATTCGCACACGAATACACCCATCGACCGGTTCGTCCGAAACGAAATTAATGACGATACCTAACTGTAATAATAAATTACGGTTATAATTAGTGATGGGTCGAACCTGATTTTTCAATGTCGAACCGAACATTGTCAAAGTGTTACGAACCCGAATCGAACTGAACTTATAATTATCCAAACAAAACCGAACTGAAATATTAACATTTTTTTATCTAAACTAAAATTCGAACTCATTATTCTTTTCCTCTTATTACTTCCATTGTATAAAATTTAATACACCTAAAAATATATAATCAATTATAATAATTATTTATTAAAATCCAATAATATTATTTCTGATAACATTTTTAAAAATATAGATCACAAACAACATTTATACTTTCTCCTTTTTAATTTTCCAATAATAGATTTGTGGTTTTGATCATATTATCACACATCATTTGAAAAAAATCTGTGTAATAATATTGCGTATAGATTTTTACAATTACAATCATATGTTTCAACATGGATTTATTTTTATTTTATTATACCTAAATCGTAATAGTATAAAAAAAAAATAGTTGATACTACTACGATACTTACTATAAACCATTATAAAGTATGGAAAATTGATTTTAGACCATTTGATTAGGAATATTTTCAAGTTCGAATTTCAAACATACCTAAATAATGGTAAATAGTTCGGTTCGATCTTCTTTTATATTGAGTTCGGTCCGTCATTCGAACAGTTCGACCCATCGCGCTAATAAATACTTCTTGCCGAGACGAACTTTCGAGTTTCGTGTAGATTTACTGGGCTATCTACTACCTACTATATCCCTCTTCATTCCACCAACTATGGTCGTAACCACCCTATCTACCGTATGATGCGAGTAGCGAACGAGAAACTCTCTAGTGTACAGTAATCACATTTTTAACTTGTTATATCTGTTCTTACTATGCATTTAGCTTTTAATTGTAACTCGGGCACCAGCCCGTAATGTAATGTAAAATTAAATTAAAAGGTAAAAGTCGTCGTACACGACTAATAGTGTACCAATTGTAATGTAAAGTGCGTTTCGTTGCAGGTGCTATCGACGCCATTATCAATCAGATCAAAGGAGGTCGATTCTGCCTGAAAGCCACGGACAAAGAGGTATGCAAGTAGTAGGGGGAAGACGAGAAAAAAAAATCGTTTTTTTTTTTTTTGTTTTCGGTTTTCGTGTCCCACGCGTCAACCGGTCGAAAGAGTAATCTCTAAGTAATAATAATAATAGTAATAATTCACCGGTCTTGTGATTTCAGAAACAGACTCCTGTCAAGAAACAAGAACCGCCGCCCGTCGTCAACGAGATGATGAACGTGCTGGGCACTCTGCGCCGTAATCCCAAACGGAGAGCCAGTTTCAAGACGGCGCCTGCCGACGTAGCGCTATAGGAAAGAAATTTTTTTAAAATAAAAAATAAGAAGAATAAAAATACCCCGTACCGGACGAGCGTCTCCCTACGACTTTGTAGTCGGCGACGGCGGCCAAGATTATTCTTTATTTCTGTTCCTCTGTTTTGTGTCTGTGAAACGAAAATTAAATAAATAAATAAATAAATCGTTTAACTGTAAATATGAAAAAATGAAAAATAAAAAAAAAAATGTGAAAAGTACATGTTATAGAAACGAATATTAAACGCACACAGTCACCATCGACTAGGATGTCTGTGATGTTTTATGTTTTTATCAAATTTCTCAGTTAATATTTTATTATTATATTGTTGTAAATATTCTAGTGAAAAAAGGATTATTATTTTTTTATATATATATAATATCATCACTAAATAGTGATCACCCTCCCTCGTTCGACCATTAAAGTAGATATTAAGATTTTAAATTTATTCTCAAATTGTCGATAGTTTTTTATATCGGTTACATATCCATTGAATTATTTTTGTATAACAAGTGTTTTGCCCGCCAACCAACAGTGTTAACGAAATTATATGTTTTATTTATAAAATTATATTGTTAAGTTATAAATGTGTACGTTATTGTTGTATGATAATAGTTTATTAGCGAATAACTTATTTAACGTTATGAATGGTTTGTAATATTCTGATTTTTAAACTTTTAAATTGTTATTATTATCAGATTCTTTTTTTATATCTGTAAGTAGTATTAATACATTTATACTATAAAACTAAACGCTAAAAAAATAAACGGATTATAATTAATATATCTTGCATTATTAACAATTTCAATTGTATAGCATAAGTTCTGTAACTCGCCTGAAGATTACTTTTAAAACAAGAAAACACTGGCACAGACTTGGAAGGGAATGTTTTTGAAGATTTTTGACAACACGTGTGGGCATACGTCAATGTCCCTAGTTTAACAGTACAAGAAATCAAATGCATTAAATGGTATTTTGAAACTGAATACATTACATTTTTCACTTGATTTAATACACTATATTTAAAAAACGTGTCTTAAGATTTAACACTTGCAAAACACCTGTTTTAACGATGTAATTAAACGTAGTAATGTTTTATACTCTGTTTGAACGATTCGATTAATTTGAATTTGTGACTTTACCAATAATCCGATCCAGTGGCGTGTACAGAAAATGTTTTCGGGAGGGGCTACTATGGGCAGAGTTAAATTACCACTGCTATCTAAGAATTATTAATAAGACACAGTAGCAGGGGCGGCTCCAGAGCCTTGGTTAGGGGGGGAGGGACCAAGTTTTAATTTTACGAAATCTTATAACAAAAAGAAAACAACAATTTTTATAACTCAAATTCAAGTCTTCTATTTTTAAAATTAGCAAAATTATCAATAATATGATCTATTTGATCTAGAATATCTAATTTATGATATACATTAATTAGACATAATACTGATAGTCTATCTTTAGTCATCATTGAACGAAGCCAGGTTTTTAGTTTCCAAAGTGTGGAAAAACTCCTTTCAACCGTCATACCTCTATCGCTCTATCTACATACTTGTGCGTGTGGTACATATTATAATATGAATTTTTTGTTAACAATATACATTTTTTTATAAATACGGTAAGTGCTTAGGAGGGGGCCGCGGCCCCTAGGGCTCCCTGGAACCGCCCCTGCACAGTAGTTATTTATCTACATTTCATTTACAGAATGTTTCAAAATGATTTGATGTTGGACGTAAATTCTAAATAAAGCACCATTCAAATATAACATACGTTTAAAATAATTTTTGAGTTTTTTAAAAATTTCGGGAGAGGGGGGGGCTGTAGTCTACTATCCCCCTCTCTATATACGCCACTGATCTGATCGACAGAATACAATCTGTTGCAAATCGGATCAGTTCCCAGTGACCAAAACTACATAATATTTGATTACCATTATATGCTGCGCGATCTGGTGGAGTTCTAACGTAAGCACAATTCGTCGAGTAGAATGTATTGTATCCAGTGGCGCCGACGCACGTTTCATATGGCATTGCGAACAAATAAATTTTTCAGTGTAACTATCATAAACTTTAAGTATATTTTAGTAATTCCAAAACGGTCTTAAATCAAAATACCGGCATAATTTGTACATCCTTATACCGGTGCACCCGATAGCGGATGCAGATAAAAAAAAACTTGGGGGTACTTAGCTCCTACACCAAAGTAAATAAATAAATAATCAACAATACATTCTTAAAATACAATTTATGTTAAAATTTTTTGTTATTTACCACTCGTTCGATCGTATTCATAATACGTTTATTTATATATTAATCGATTAATTCATATCAATAATTGAAGAAATCAACTGAAGGGGTGTTAAAATCAGTTTGGGGTGCATAACACCCTTGGTCCGCCACTGGGTGCACCCCTATCCGCCGCAGGATCGCCCCCCTAAACGATACCTACGCGTAGGAATCGGTACCACCGATTGTGTAGTCGTTTATTTCGTCGAAAAAATAACACGTTCACTATGAACAGGTACGTGCGCTGGCCCCGTAAGTCCATAATTTACAATAATTAGCTGTACAATCGTATCAATACGACATGCGTTTCAACCGTTTCACATGGTGTTAGACTCGTAAAATAGAACTAGTTAAAATATGTATACACGGGCCCGGGTTGAGTCGGGTTAGGTTAGGTTAGGCGAACTACCGAGAAAATCTCGACTGGCCCAGAGCTAATATTTTTTTCCACCCCCGTCTCCGTGATATTAGTCTATTACAACGCTAACTGTCAAAATATATTTTATAAAAAAAAAAACGTAGTAAACGTAAAAAAACATCCGAAATATTTTGTGATTTCATTTATGACTTCAGTCACGAGAAAAATTACAATTCACAAAAAATGAATAATGGTTAATCAAATAGATAACTAAAATTGTAATAGCTCATGTATCGCACACCCAGAAGAGAACGACACAACTCAAATATAATCATTATACAGAGTAAGTAGTAATCAAAACGGCTTAAAATTATGACCCAACTAATCTGACGTGGTTTGAAAGTACAAATAGATAAAACGGCTTATCTTAGTTAAGCCGATCTTCACTAAGAATAATTTATTACATTTAGAAATGTAAAACGACTTAACATGTCTTGAACTTAAATCGGTCTAATTTTGTGTTTTGTAATTCTTCTTCTTGGTGTGCGATGCATCTTCAAATTATTGCGTCTACAGCTAAAAGTATGCATGTTACATGAGAACAATTTTGAAAAAATATATGGAACTATATTGAAAAAAAGAATTAAAGAGAGTTTAAAAAAAAAATGTTCAGTCGACGAATAATTTTATACAATGGGGTGATGCAAAATGGGAAGAAAATGATATATGATAGTTTCAAAAATAAAGACAATGTCAAGAGAAAAAAAGTTTGATCAACCACAAAATTACCACACCTTCAAATATGAAATAAAAGTCTATAACATATATGACCAAATAGTCTCAAGTTAGAAATTGTTTTATTACTCATGATAAGTTATCGTCGTCGTGCAGTAATTTATATTTAGCATATAAATATGTTTTAACTCTTTTTTATTCACGAGTTAGATACATTATCTAAATTTAAATGTACTTTAATCGGTTTAAGAAATTTTTCGGGTCAATCGTAATTAGAAACAATCTTATTGATATTTGTTCGAAAAAGATATTCTACAGTCCAGCGAGAAAACGGTTCCGCGCGTGTACAACGACGATCGAGACATCGCCGATGTATCGTTTCCCTCTTTTAGCTGCCTAATCATTCAAAGGATAGCCGATTGACGATAACAATAATTCACTACAATAATGGTCGGTGAATTACCTGTTGATTATTGGCATCCGCGTAGAACACACGTGTGCACACCGAAATCATTGTTATTGTTTATCGAAGCGGTCTCGGTGGAAAGGTTAGGGAGAGGGTTAGGAACACACAAAAATGAAATGATTTCGGTTGTGTCGCGGCACGTTCACTCGCTGAACAGAATATAGCATGCGCGCCCACAGAGAGGGGCTATTGCCCCATCTGGGAATTTTTGTTTCAAAACTAGGAATGAATTCTTCCACACTTTGAGCCCTCGAACACCTCAAACTCTAAGAAATTCGAACAGTTCGAAGTTCGAGAAAAATGCAAGTTCGAATTCGAACATAATGCATAAAGTTCGTCGAGCATAATAATTTATTATGTTCAAAACGAGTGTGTCAGCAGATAATTTTTTTTCTCGTATATGTAGGCACTATAAATTTTTTAAACTTTGATAATAACATAAAAATGAACAAACTCTGATTTAGTGATAACCTGATAACTGACAGTTTATTTTATTCGTTATTTACTCATAAGTATAACTTTTAACGTTTCACATTAGTACTCAGTAGTTTTTCTTTTTAGTTTTTAATTTTGTTTTAACATGGCTTCGTACGTGTGTGATCATTTTTTAGTAAATAAAAATGATTCCAATTTCGCTGTATTTGTATATTAAATTGTTTTAGATTCAAAATGATGCTGTTACAGCAGAGAAAGGCATGTGGTCCTACTATAGTCATAATCCATCAACTTATCAGTCTACTTCTATCAATGTAATGAGTGCAGAAGATGAACTTAAATTATTTTTGATGACAAATGGATAACCGTCTGAAACAAATATTTATGAGTACTGGAAAAATGAACAAAAATATCCCAAATTTAGAAATGTAGCATTAAAATATTTATATATACCACTTAGTAATATAGAATCAGAAAGGTTGTGATCAAAAAAGAAACCGATTGGACCCGGAACGTGTGAAGCAATTAGTATTTTTAATAAAAATTTATGATCTCAAGTCTCAACTACTTCCTAAATTAATTTTTAAATATTTATTTAATCTCCTAATACGTAATAATAATTTAATACACCAGTTATTTTGTTTTTCTTTTGTTCATAGTTTATATTATAGACTATAATAATTGTATTGTGTTACACCAGCGGTTCCCAAACTTTTTTTTCGCGGTGCCTTTTTTTTTTTAGACCCAATTTAGCCACGGTGCCGTGTTGTGAATAACATTAAAGACAGAACAAAAAAAAAAAAAATACTTATCGATAATCCATTTTATTAATTTTATTAAAATTTATCTCAATTATAAATTAATGCATTTTTAAATTTAAAAAATAAATAAATAAAAATTATTGTTATTATGATTATAATTATTATATACAAATATAAGGTTAATATGAGAATAGACGAATATACAATAGAAAATATTACATTATTTGCTATAAAGATTTTACGAAAACAATAAGGAAAAACAATTTAATCTTTTTTAACAATTTTTATGAACCGTAAACCGCGGTGCCCTTAAAAAGTGGTCGTGGCGCCCCTAGGGCGCCGCGGTGCACAGTTTGGGAACCGCAGTGTTACACAGTTTAAAAAAGTTTTTTATTTACTTTTTAGTTGTTATGTTTTACTATTTAAAATGTTAAGTTACTTCAATTTTACTTATATTGTTAATGTACTTATAATGTTTAATTTTTAATTAATTAAAATTTAAATTGTATTTATACTGTCAAATGTATTTTTCAATGTATAAATGTAAAGATAAATAAAGCTATTTATTATTTTTTTACTATTAACTCTAAGATTTAATTAGTCAAAGAATATTGCTTCTAACA